CACCAATATCCAAGCTGTACATAAATTCTTCTGTGTTCATTTTTTTCATGTTTTAAATACTTCGTTGGGAAGTTAAATATTGTAACAACAAAGTGCACAAGGCTCTAGTTGCCACCACATGTAGCTTGGTTAGTTACCGTACTCACTCACGTAATGAACACACTCTCATAATAAATGAACCCCCAACTTCAATCGTCAAAACTTCTATTTTTTCTTTCCCACCGAGGGATTAGAGAGCCTGTAACGCCGCCCATGGACAGACAAAATAGCTACACGATTTGGCAGTGGAATTGTCGAGGATATAATCGAAAACGATACATTTTGCAACAATATCTTAAAGACTCCAGAACCCCGGATGTTATAATGGTGCAAGAAACGCACAGGCTGGCCATATTGTCGGGATATAAGTCATTCGGCAGCGCTGGTGGGGAGACAAAGGTATTAGCAACGTTGGTTAAGCGAAATCACGCGGTGGTGCAACATGACACGGAAATCAAGGCAATAAATCATTCTCCTCGAACTCATACCAACGCGGAAAACAGAGGACAGTCTTTTTGTATTGAACATTTACAGCAGTCCTAAATGCAGAAAGCACAAATTCCGCACGCTGTTTCGAAAAAACCTCGCTATAACGGGCAACCGGGCGCTAGTGATTGGAGGAGATTTCAACGCCCCACACGGTGCATGGAGATACAGGATCGAAACCCAGAAAGGCAGCAACTTGTGGTTGGACGCACAGAAGGAGGGCCTGACGCTCGTGACCGATCCATCCATTCCTACAAGAACAGGTACTAGCGTTTGCGCGGATACTACGCCAGATTTGACGTTCACCAAAAACATACTGGACACGCAATGGACCAATATGCAACATGACTTGGAAAGCGATCATTTTATACTTGAAATAACGGTGAGGGCAGGGCCGCGGAAGGCAAAAGGCAGACAACTTAAACTTTTCGATTGGGACAAGTTCCGGAACATCAGAGAGGAGCCCGACGAAATGATACAGAGTATTGAGGAATGGACCGAAAAGTTAAAACGAGACATGGAGGCCGCTACGCAAACGGTGCCACCGGAGGCACAGCTAGAGTATGTAGACAATAAGCTTCTCATGTGGGAAGCTAAGGAAGGTTTACAACGGAGGCGGAAAAACCAAAGGCACAACCGGACACTTCGTAGAAGGATAGCAAAATTGAACAGGGATATAGAGCAATACGCCCAGCAGCTGTGCAGACAACAGAGGGAGGAAAAGTGCAATGACATGGACAACCAGATAGGAATGGCGAAAACGTGGACCATCCTTAGACATTTGTTAAACCCGGACGGAAACAAGTTGGCAGGAAGGCACAATACTAATCGGTTAATACAAAGATATCAAGGTAAGAGCAGGATTTCCTGAATGAAATCAAGAAAACATACATCTCTCAAGCGCTTCCCGTTACACACCCTGATTACACAGGGCTGGCAAATGATGATTTAGACAACGAGATCGGGGAGGCAGAAGTGAGGGCCGTCTTGCAAAAACTCAATACTAGATCAGCACCTGGACCAGATGGCATAACTAACGAAACGCTACGCAATTTGGATGACGAGTTCATAACTAAGTTAACTGAATTCATTAACAAATCATGGAAGGCAGGACAGATTCCGCAACAATGGAAGACGGCAAAAATCGTGTTAATACCCAAGCCAGGCAAGTGACTGCAGATTGCGGACTTGAGACCCATATCTCTCACATCTTGCGTGGGGAAACTCATGGAGCACGTGATTCTGGAGAGGATAACTACCTATCTCGAGGACCGGGATGCGCTTCCACCCACAATAATAAAGTTCAGGAGGAACCTCTCAACGCAAGACGCAATGCTACAGTTAAAACATCAGATTATAGATAATCCGGGAACAGCGACAAAGGCCATTCTAGGGTTAGACCTCAAGAAGGCCTTTGATAATGTAACCGATGCAACGGTGCTAAAAAGGGTAAACGATCTAGTTCTGGGACAATGGACGTACAATTACGTGCGTAATTTCCTGACAGGAAGTAAGGCAAAGATCATGATAGGTGACCTAGTTTCGGAGGAAATTGAGATGGGCAGTGTAGGTACGCCGCAAGGATCGGTATTATCACCTATGTTATTCAATCTGGCTTTATTTGGACTGCCAACCAAACTCCAAGCAATCAAAGGACTGCATCATACTATATATGCAGACGACATCACCCTATGGGTGAGAAGTGGTAGTGATGGCGAAATAGAGGAAACGCTTCAAACAGCAGTCGAAACGGTCGAGCGGTATCTGGAAGATACTGGGCTAGCCTGCTCTGCGGAAAAATTGGAGCTGTTTGCTGTACAGACCTACTCTTAGAGGTCGCAAACCAGGCAACTGCCTGCAAGATCTCGCTCATAGAGAAGAAATACCGTTAAGAACAGCCGATGAAAAAACCATACCCATAGTCGACAGGATCAGGGTACTGGGTCTGCTCATCGAAGCCAAGGGCAACAATGGAGAAATCCTCAGGCGACTGGATGCAACTGTAGCCCAAATAATGAGACTCATAAAAAGGATAGCAACTAAGCACAGTGGCATGAGGAAGGAAAACATGATAAGGTTGATACAGGCATTCGTGATAAGCAGAATAGTATACGTAGCGCCATACTTAAAATGGCAAGTCACGGAAAAGATCAAGCTAGACTGCCTCATTCGAAAAATATTCAAACTAGCTATAGGGCTACCGATTAGCACAAGCACCGACAAACTGTTACAGCTAGGCCTGCACAATACAATAGATGAGCTTATTGAGGCGCAGTTTTCGTAGACGCTGCTCGATACAAGCGCAAACGGGGGTTTACCGCAGCCGTAATCGATAGCAACAAACGCTGTACGACATGCGCAACGATACGCACCACAAGTACCGAGACAGCGGAAGAGGTAGCCATAGCGCTCGCTGTAGCTCAAAAAACGCAACCGTGATAGTCAGTGACTCTCAAACGGCAGTGAGAAACTTTGCCAACGGCCGCATCTCCCCAGAGGCACTACGTATTCTCAAAGGTGGGTGTCAAACAAGCCCTAGAAATACATATATTATATGGACACCTGCTCATGCCATCGCGGGGGACAGCAACAACGGGGCTGTACATGACGCAGCTCGAGGGCTCACCGACCGAGCTGCCTTCTCAAGTGCCGCCCCAGCCTCCTCCGGTGATTACGGCGTGGCAGACGAGTGGGAGTGGGAAGACAGAATGACCAGATACAATGAAATTACAAAACATTATAGATTACAGAGGGGCATATTCCCGCCCCCTCACCCAAAATTAACAAAAAAGACAGTCTGTCGAATGGCGGCAGTTACAAACTAGGACATATCCGAATCCTGTGCTATCGCACATTATCTATCCTGATATATACAAAACGGAAAGGTGCAAGCGTTGCGACTCCAGAGCCACTCTGGAGCATATGTTATGGGAATGTAGAGGGATTAGTACTTATAACAAGTATGCGGCCTCTGCTGACAGCCTTCGCGTGCACTGGGAAGCCGCAATGCTCAGTTCCGTCCTCGAAGACCAAATGTGGGCCGTCCAGTGGGCCGAGGAAGCCGCCAGGATTCAAGGACTCCTGGCCGTAACCTAGGCGGGGCCAATCGCCCACCCCGTCTACTCACCGGACTCTTAATAAAGTTCTTTCCTCCTCCCAAGTAACAAACGCACCCCTTACATTCTTCCATTAAAGTCCCGCTAACTGACACCTGGCACCTTTCAACCAAATGGATCTCTTCTATTTCTTATCATCATGCCGAACCCCTTGGCTTACTCCTGCCCTACCGCCTTCTCCAGTTGCCACGCACCGTAGTGTTTTTCTTTTTATCTGCATGCAGCACATCCCCTGAACTATTGAATGAATAAACTTCAATTAAAGACCCACCGTTTCCTTCAGGCGAGGTATTTTTTTGCTGTCTTTTTTTTTTATTACCCATGCGTGACAGCGGGGCTCACGAACAGTGCGCGTGTAAAAACATTACAGCTGACAAAAACACAGCGAGCGAAGGTCACGAAACTGCCCGCGCCAACCAACGATCGTTTCCTGCAAATACGAATCTTTAAGGCCCAACGATGTGCACACGATTTTCGAGCGACGACAACAGGATTTGCTGTCGCGAGGGGTCATTCGTTGCTATTGTGTCGCAAGATTCTCTAAAACTAGAACAAATCACTTGTCACCCAGAAAAGATCGTAACAACTTCCGCAACATGGTAGCACCCTGATTCTCACTTCACTTGTTCTCCACGCCTACAGGAACTTCTCATGTGGAAGCGAGACGGCGACCGTATTTTGTCATTAATTTTGTTATCGACGATTTGTTTTGATGCCTCGAGGGTAGCTTGCTGCAATGTTGGTTACTTGCTACAATGTCAATGGCGGCGTCGCGGTTGTTGTGCGAGGTTGCCGCGAGGTTGGCAAAGGTTGTCGTAGCGCCCACTTCTGGCACTCCTCGTGATCATGGCAGATACCACTGTTACGGTTGCAGGAAAAGATAGCCGCAAAATACTTTTATGGCGTGCATTGGCGATGCAGAGACAGCTTGCAGAAGATAGCCCCACCAACCACCGAAGATGAGTGAGGTGCAACAAAGAAGCTGTTTTCAAACAGTGTACGCGAATGCCAGCTGCCAAAAGCTAAGCGACCCAATTTTTTTTTTTTAATTACCACATTTTTTGCTCATCCCGAAAAAGTTTTCATAAAATTTGCCTCACATAATAAACATGCCCCCAACTTCACTCCAATTTCTCAAGAAAAAAAGTGTGTTCATTACGCGAGTAAATACGGTCGTTGAGCCAAGTTTGCTGGCACAAAAGCAACTATGACTACACAGCCCTAATACCATATGTATGTTGTAGTTTGAACGTTCAGCAGCACACAAAGTGACAAAGATGACAGAAAGGGCTCTTTCTATAGCTTGTGTTACCATGTTTGTTTTTGAATTTTTCCATACAGTGCTCGTCGACCACTCACATGTACAGCTCTGCCAAATCTCTGCCGACTAGCCTCGCCGACCGTAGCCGTCCTGTGTGTTTGAACATGATCATGGTGTGCTCTGACAAATCCTGCAGAGAAAGACCAAAAAGACCAAGGCCGCATTTAAATAGCAAGTGGATACAAACTGCCGCCCAGAATTCTGCTGCATATAAGACCGTACCTAATTACGACAACTAGATCAATGCACAAGCTATATAGAATGTTAGATTGTAATTTATAGCGTGCAGCCTTGTCCCAATCTGTATCATTGTTATTGACAACTTTTGCATCCGAAGTGAAAAGAAGACTTGTGTGATTTCCTCACTAGGTCATGTCTTGACATAAAAATTTGCAGCATGCCAACTACTTAAGCTAGCAGGACTTGCAAATACTTTGCAGTGATATGCAAAGGTGCACACATATGTTATAGATAGGCTTGTGCAAATATTTGAGCACTTCAAATATTTGACCAAATATTAATGTATTCAAATTTGCTTCAATTTATATTTAAATTATTGAAAATTTTAATGTATTCAAAATGAAAGAACAGGTGTATATTATGCACGCTGTAAAAATGGTTTTATTAGGTGAGTAATACGCCATGAATACACCTTTAAAAAAAGTTCCGCACAGCTACAATGCCTCACTTCCAATTGTGATACTAACCACTAGGCTTGTGCGAATAATGAATCTTAGGTTCAAAGCGAATTCGAAGCGAATAGTGATATTGGTCAAACAATTTCAAGTTGAATTAGAATAGAACATATAACATACTATAGAGAAAAAATGATAACATTTGTCGTGACTCAACTAACCTGCACAATATTTCTTTGAAATTAAAACTAACTAGCCTGCACAATATTTCTTTGAAATTAAAAAAAGGCCTGAGCGAATGTCATTTTTTTTTGTTTAAAGAAAATAGGAACAACCTTGAATAGTAACCGGATTTGACTTTAAGTAGCATGCAAATGATAATCAATAAAAAATGTATTGTTTTAAAATTTACTATACTTATATCATACAAACCAGTATAACATGCTTTTACACTTAAAAAAATCATGAATCGATGCGAAGGTAATAAATTCACTTAACCTTGAAGTTGGACTTTCAGCAGTGTTGATTTCCTCTGATTATATGTTTTCCCGGCTTCCCACCTCTTCACTGAGGAGAAACTACTTTTACTGTTGATTACATTCGGGCTAACATACACTTATTTGTTCATCTCGAATACTTTAAAATTTTCAATAATTTAGGTTAAAGTGAAAGCAAATTTAAATACTATAATATTCATTTGATCAATTGAAGCATTTAAATATTCACACAAGCTTACTAATCACAATCATGAACAATCCTTGTACAGAAAATTTCACTGGAGCCAATGTTTCAACAAGCAGTCTTATGTTTTTTCAAGGAAGAAACTGACAAGACTACTTGGCGAAAAATACGTCCCTAATTAAGTATGACAACAAATGAAGTCACACTCGTTTTTTCAAATGATGGCAAATTTTATCTGGGTATTATTACATTGAAACACAACGCTACGATAAAGCCTGAAAACAAATTTTTCTTGTTGCCTGCATTGTAAAAAAAATTAAATTTCTGTCTTACTATTCGTTTTCTCAGACTGCCCCGTTTTTCTCAAGTTAAAAAGCAAAACATTAGGTTGTGGGTGTATTCAGAAGTCTCGTGCAAATATGCTTCAAATATTCAAATGAATATTACACTATCCGAACTTGCTTCGATCTGAATATTTCGAGGTACTATTAGAAATGAACGATTAGATGTAAATAAATCTATATGCAAGCTCGTGTAAGCATAACTTCACTGCAATGAAAGGATGCTAAGCAGTGAAAGCACCTGTTTAACTATTTCAATCGACATGTAATCACCCTGCAAAAATGGTTTCACTGTAATAAAGTAGTGCTAAGCTGTGAAAACACATATCCAAAAGAAATCTGCACTGTTACGAAGCCCGACTTCAAAGTTAAATGAAGACACCCTAATATCAATTCATTTTTTAAGTTTAAAAGCTTGTTATATCGGCTTGTATGCTCCAAGTATAGTAAATTTTAAAACGTAACAAATGTTCCAGGTTATCACTTGCATTCTACTGATAGTCGAAACCAGCTACTACCGTAATTACTCGAATCTAACGCGCACCTTTTTTCCGGTTAAGCGAGTTCATGAATCGCATGCGCGTTAGAATCGAGTACGAAAAAAAAATTACGGTCAATCTATTGCCATCGGCAAATCCAAAATGGCCGCCCCCTACGTGCGTCGGCATGGCGCGTCGGCCATTTCTGCCTATGTGTTTCCCATGTGCGGCACTTTGTACGTGTGCTGAGGAGTTCGTCATCTAGTAGTGCATTAGAATCGACGGCATGGAAGGGCCGACTCCCAAAACTTGAGTGCACCACGATGCCGCTTTTAAAAGAAAAGTCATCGCGTGTGCAGAAACGGAGGGAAATCGGGCCGCATCGCGGTCGTTCGGAGTTCCCGAAACGTGCGTGCGGGACCGGCAAGAACAAAAGCAGAAGATTGTCGACAGCAAAATTTCACGCAAAGGCTTCTGTGGACCACACCAGGGTCGGTTTCCGCACATTAAAGAGCTGCTCGGCGAGTATGTGCTTGAGCAGCGAGCCGCACAGCGGCCCGTGACGACAGAACTGCTCCAAGTGCGGGCTATGCAATTAGTCTTAGAAAAAGGTCTAATGCGGAGCCAGTTTAAAGCGAGCAGGGGCTGGCTAACTAACTTTATGAAGAGGAAAGGCTTTTTCCTCCGAAGGGGAACATGCATATGCGAAAAGTTTTGCGGAGGAGTACGATGAAAAGCTTCACAGTTTTCAGAGGTTCGTCCTAAACTTGCGGCGCAACAACGGCTACCTGCTTGGGCAAATTGGGAATGCCGATCAGACGCCTCTTTACTTCAACATGCCTGGCACCACAACCGTCGAGAAGAAGGGGGTGAAGCAAGTTTGCGTGCTGACATCGGTCCTCGGTAAAACTACAGTGACGGCAATGCTCTGTTACACGTCAGATGGGCACAAGCTTCCCCCGTACCTCATATTTAAATGGAAGACGCTCCCGAAAGGAGTTGTTTTTTCGAGTGATGTGATCATGCGGGCCAGCGAGAAAAATGGGTGCGCGTTGCAATCGATGTCTTACGTTTTTTTTTTTTTCGCGGTGGAAATCGGGCGCGTTACAATCGAGGGCGCGGTAGAATCGAGTAAATACGGTATTCAAAGTTGTCACTTTCGTTGAAGCAAAAAAAAAAAAAAGAGGCCTTGTTTCATTTTCTACAAAATACTGTGCAGGTTAGTTAGGTCATGACTAATTTGCCCATTTTTTTATAATATGGTATCCATACTATTCAAATTCGATTCGAAATTATTCTACCAATATCACTACTCGCTTTGAATCTAAAATTCACTATTTGCACAAGCCTAGTGTTCACTATTTACAATTTTGTAAGCACTGACGCATGCGCAGGTCTGAGAGGTGCTTGTTGTGTAAATGGTTACCTTTTTTTTTTAATACCACAGAAATCAATTATAAACTGTTGACTAGTGTTGTCAGAGGGGCTCCTCACCAGGTAGTGTTTGAGAAAGGATTCCTTGGAAGAGAGTGCCTCCCTGAGCTGACTGTGCGGCGACTGGCTGTCCAGCTCTGCGCACAGAAGAACCAGAACACAACGAACTTTGAAATAACGGTCACTCACTAGAACATCAGCGCAGTGTAGGGCACCCATCCTCAAAGTGCTATGATCATTCACAGCTGGGAATGGCAAGTAAATTGTATTACTTTGTGGTGTGACCCACAGACAGTTTGCACTCGACGATCCATGACATGAGGTGGTGAAAAAAGACCTTTAAAAGTCTAGGCTTTGAGTTTACCATCTATTTCATTCAGATTACTGTATGCACAGCATATTATGCACACAGTTGCTGAGTAGCAACACTGGTGTACAAGTCCACAATGATCATGCCAGTAGCAAGAGGAAGAACACCGCCTCTGCTGCAGTGTTCATCTGCACTGTTCAGCTGTGCAGAATAGTGCATCAACTTACATTAATAGTGCTTCTAGCACTCACTCCAGCAATGACTATAGCATCTCTAGAGACCTTGTAAAGCCTATAAGCTTCATAGGCAATGTAAACTTGTGTACACTGAGAACACACATCATGCACCTTCAGAACTATGCCAACAGTTGACATGAACATGCGGGTGTCCACATAAATGCAATAAAATGTATTGCTGCACTTAAAAATGTAATTGGTCCCTCATAAAGTGTTGTGAACTAGACATGATCAGGATGTTGTTCATTTTACAACTACGAGAAAGATGAACTTATCGTTCCGTCGAAAATGCTCTCGTCTTTCTCTTTTTCATAAAATTTATCATTACAATCCATCTTTAAAAGAGAGCCTTCTCTCTTCCCCCTCTTACATTTCATTTCGTTTCGATCATTGCTTTAAAGTAGGTGTGCCATTTTGCCGAACATCCCACAACAGTGATTCCTTCATTCCCAGAACAAGCAATGACTGGAACTGCCTTTCCGCTGCCACCGCATCCCTCATCGACCCTGAAAACTTCAAACTTTTCCATTTTGCAGCAATTGTAACATTTCGCTTACTTTTTGTTGTATAACCCCCACTCCTTTCTGTAAAGTCTTCGGGCATGGAAAGTATTCAAATAAATAAATAAATAAATAAATAAATAAATAAATGGCGTGAGTCACGAGACGGTGTGGTACCGGACACTCACCAGCAGCTGGTGACTGCATGCCTGAAAGCAGCGCTATCACCGTGAGCAGGTGCTCAGAAGTAGACTCCCTGCCAGGCATCAGGCCACACAGGTCACCCAAATACTTCAACTGCAGGTGACAAAGTGGACGCATGAGATGAACAGTTAGTCTCCTTGAAGCTAAACAGCGAGCCAAGTTCTGTGGCATCTATCGTGAACAGACGCGGCCCTTGTTTCCCGGTCAAACGAGGTTGCAGACATTCGGATGCCTGCTTCACAAATCGGTTCGAATCTCTTATTGTCTCCCTCTCCCACTTTTTATTTCCCCCAATCTTGCCTTGCAGACTGCAAAAGCTAGCTCTACACTTTTTCTGCCACTAAGCCAGGACACTCCAACGACGCACCACACATTAGCAGATTAGCATTCAAAGAACATGCTACTGATTTTGTGAATAAGCCAAAGAATGGTGTGGTTAGACACTTTTGGTATCATGTTGCACAGTCATCCACAAAACAGCCCATATCTATATTCCCTACATGTTGACTTTGGTAAATAAGATTTTTATTAAAGCTGCATGATTTTGACACATCATAACAACTCTCCGTAAGTACCATCTTCTTAGCCAAAAGTGTACCTATGAGACTCGACCAGGGAACAAGCCCAACTCTTGTACCGATTGACACCTTCAAGACCGAGCTGAATGCCCATATGCATGGAACTAGTTGTGCGCAAATAATGGTGCAAGAACTAATGGTGCAACTAATAGTTTAAAAATAACTTTACCAGATTGAATATGAAATACACGTTGTGCCTTCCTATAACTCCTCTGAAAATACTTGTAAAACATGAAACAGTAGTTGAAGTTGATAATAGATGGAGGCTCACAAGGAGATAGGCATGAGAAATCAACAGAACTGCTCAAGTGAGGCATGTTTCAGTCAGGCTACGAATAGCCAACAATTATACGTGAGGGCTCGTCTATCATTCTTGCTCTGGCAACAGAAGACGAGGCCCGTTTTGAAACAGTATCTTCGACCTGACAACTTTAGAGTTTTACTCTGGAAATGATAGAGTTGTCAACAGACTGTCACAAGGTGCACTACTTGCCTTTTCTCTGGCATAGGACCACAGCCCCACAGTGTGCAAGGAGTATGCTGCACCGTTCACCATGGTAGACGGCTGCTGTGGCTGTTGCTGTTGCTGCGCCTGCACTGGTTGTTGCTGCTTCTCTCCCTGTCGCAATGGTGACGGTGTGGCATTGGCAGCAGGTGCCACTTGTTCTGCTGGGCCATCACCCTCGCATGCAGACAGCACCTCTAGGCAGCTGGTGAACACCCAGCAAGCCACTGCGCCTGGCGGTGTAGTCAACTAGGAGCAGGGACAAGGCAAGATTTTTGTTTTACCTAAGGTTAAACACTTTTATTTGCCGGCTGGCAAAAAAAAAAAGCGCTGGCTAACCATCCCAGGTTTACATGCACAAAAATACCCCATAAAGTGAACAGGAGGCTGACTACTGCTGTAGCTCAACTGATAGAGCATTGGACGAGCTATCTGAAGGTTGCAGGTTCGGTCCCGACCGGCAACAAGTTGTCTTTTTTTTTTACTTTACTTCTTTCAGATTTATACACCCCATTTTCAATAGACTACCAATAACAGTGCCTGTATGAAGTTGTTATATCAAGGTTTAACTGTAAACATAACAATAAGCGAAGGCACATACTACAACTGCCTTCCAAATAAAATGGATCAAGATACTGAACTTGGTAAGACATTCTTGAAGAGCGCTATCCTAGAAAACATCAAATCTCACAGCCTTACCACTCTGTCAGAAACATGAGACTAGAGCTAGTAGCAATGAACTAGGGTGAACTAGGGCGAGCAGCAAGGGAACAGTGCATCAACTGGTGCGCCTGTCGGGCCGATAACATACAGTCGAACCTCGATATATCGAACGGCGTGGCGATCGCGAAACAGTTCGATATACCCAAAATTCTATATAAAAAAATCTCGAAAAAAATGCGTCAACAGCTTGCTGAAAACAACCAGCGAACCGTTCAAGTGTGGTGCAGTAAATACTCACTTGAAGATTCAAACATAGTATTTATTGTGTTGGTTTAAAATATTGAAAAAGAGTAGCCTGCTTTTTGTTGGCAATGGCGTGTTTGACGACTGCGTCCTCAATATAGTCCAGGCGATCCATAAGTGATAAGCCAGTGCCTTCAATCGCGCCGCAGTGACGGCGCACAAGGGCCAAGGCAGCTACGACCTCAGCTGATGTCGGGAGCGGGGCACCATCAGCGCTTGCGGGATCCACCTCGGCAGAGTCTTCATTTGACTGCTCAGCAGTAGCTTCGGCAACAATCCACATCCGTGAGCTCCGCCGTTCGGAGTTAGGCCTGTCGCGCACCACATCGCGACAGGCCTAACTCCGAACGCACGAACACTGCGAGCACAACGACCGATGCCTGCCGATGCTACGGGGGAGGAGCTTGCAACAAGTGCGCAGTGTGCCGTTGACACCATAGAGACTGCAACGACTGCAAGCTGCAAGGCTGCGGCGTGAGTCCGGGTGTAAAGCGCTGTTGCGTAGCGTATGTTTATCAGCTCGCGACTGCTTCTGCGCAGAGCTGATAAGACGAGCGGACGAGACGACGGTGAGTTAAACAAGGTTTATGTACAGCATATATACAGAGGCGTTACAATTTCGGCACTGGGGCCGACAGAGACTCGATGAGCCGAGCTCTCCTCTCTAATCCATAGGTCAACTTCTCGCCTAAGACCGCCGATCGCGACACGCCGCAGGGCTTCTTTTATTTGCACCGGGTCCAACCAAAATGTCCAATCAGAAGCGCCGCTGGTCGTCAGGGCAGACTCCTCCAATGGGATTGCCGCGCCATGCGTCAGACCACCAGACACGAGGACGCCGGCTCGCTGTCACGTGCGCAGCTGACTCAATGCACGTGGGCCAGAGGGGCGCCGCGCGTGTTCACGCCGTCGAGTTGATCGCGCCAGGCGGACTGCGGGCTGGCCTTGACCCAGATTGCCTTTTTCAGAGGCACGGACGTTTGACGAGGACTCGCTGGCATAACAGCACCCCCGCCGCCAGACAATGCACCGGAAAGACGAGCTGCTTCCACGGGGCTCGGATGTCAGGTGCGCTCGCTCGCCAGGTCCCTCCAGGTTCGCCTCCAGGGCCATGGGGAGAATACAGCTCCAAACTGTTCCGGGAACACATCCCATTTTTGACGACGGATCCCAGCTCCACTGGCTTGTCGCCACAACTTGTCGACCAGCTTCACTCGTCTCTTCTGACCATCTTCGGTTTCAGCACTTGTCGATGGCTCTGCAACTTGCCAAGAACGGATCGACAACAGACAACACACGACACACGCAAGTGCCTTCGGTCACCCGACAGAACACCAGACAAAGTATAGTACAACATATACCTATCTACGTGTCTATCGGAATTTTGTTCCCTCTACATCAAGAGGCACATGTGGGACACAAGACTCTTAAAATGACAACTGAATTTTTTTTTTTTTTCCCACGTACAACAACGTAACGAATTAGAATACCACAAAGTTGGCCCCTTGAGATCACTCTGAACGAGAGCGCTCAGCCCAGGTCGTGATGAGGTCAAAATTTTGCCCCGAATCGCCAGCGAGAAACCGAAAGGTTGAGAAGGTACTAACTAAACGCACGGCTCAATGCGTCTGCATTAGCGTTTAGCCTTCCTTTTTTGTAGCGAACGTCAAAGTTGTGCTGTTGGAGTATCATGCTCCACCTCAGTAACCGGCCACTTTTAGGCGACATGTTATTTAACCAGGTTAGAGGACAGTGGTCCGTTTCAACCACAAACCTCGAACCGGAGACATAACAAGCTAGCTTTTGAACGGCCCACACGAGGCAAGCGCATTCCTTTTCAGAGGTACTGTACGCCTCTTCCCTGCCGCTGAGTTTTCGACTTAAATACAAAACTGGCCTTTCGTTACCAGCACCGTCCTCCTGGCACAATACAGCTCCCATGCCGCGATCACTCGCGTCGCATTGAATCACAAATCTCTTAGAGAAATCGGGTGCCATGAGAACAGGCTTTTCGCTTAGGGCCTGTTTCAGCTGGCAAAACGCAGTCTCCTTTTCTGAGTCCCATACTACTTTAACCGGCTCGGACTTTCGAAGCGCGTCAGTGAGAGGGCTGGCAATGCTAGAGTAATTTTGCACGTAATGCTGATAGTATCCAGCCAGGCCCAAGAATGCCCTTATCTCTGATTTTGTGGTTGGTCATGGATAGTTCACGACAGCGGCTACCTTAATTTCTGAAGGTCTACGCTGGCCACGCCCCACAACGTGCCCCAGGTAAGACACCTCGCCACACCCTAGGTGACATTTAGTAGGTTTCACGGTAAGGCCAGCCTTTCTCAACCTGTTCAGCACGACGCGTAGATGCTCGACATGTTCTTCCCAGTTGTTGGAGAAGATGGCGACATCGTCAATATACGGCAGAGCGAACTCGGAGAGGCCTTTAAGAACGCGGTCCATTAAGCCTGAAAAACAAAAGGGTGCATTTTTCAATCCAAAGCTCAGCTTAAGTGGGCGATACGTTCCAAATGGAGAAACAAATGTGGCATAGCGGCTGGCACGCTCTGTAAGGGGGACTTGCCAATACCCTCGCACGAGGTCTAACGTGGAAATATAGCTGGACTGTGACACAGTTTCCACCCTCTCCTCTAGGTTTGGTATCGGGTAAGTTTGGTCTCGAGTTATTGCGTTAAGACGCCGATAATCGATGCATGGCCTCGGATCTTTTCCTGGCACCTGAACCAATATTAGAGGGGATGTATAGTCACTCTCGCCCGGTACTATGACTCCCAACTCCAGCATTTTATCGATCTCCTCTTTCATGATTTGCTTTTGCACGGGGGAGCAACGATACGGCTTGCTACGGATTGGCTCCTCACAAGTTAGCTCGATATCGTGCTCGATCACCGTCGTGTTTCCGGGACGGTCCGAAAACACGTCTTGAAACTCGGAAACAATCCTTCTCAGGTCCTCCTTCTGGACTTCACTTAACCTAGGCTCTAGGTTCAACTGCTCCAAGATTACCTCTGATCCCCTTTCGATTACATCACTAGAATTCAAAATTTCTTCTCCCTCTTCCTCTGCAGCATTCAACAGCAGATTTACGACCGCTTGACGTTGAACGTATGGTTTCATCAAGTTACTGTGGTAATTTTGTTCGGCCGCCTTCCTAATTTCACTTCATAATTGGTATCAGAAAGCTTCGATATTACTTTGGCAGGCCCTTCCCAATGAACCTCAAGCTTGTTCTTTTTGGACGGCCGCAGCAGCATTACTTGACTACCAACTTCAAATGTGCGCTTCTTCGCCGATTTGTCGTAGTACTCCTTCGACAATACTTGTGCAGCCTTCATGTGGCTTTCCACAAGATCTTTCGTTTTTCCAAGCCTCTGAAGGAGGTCTAGAACATACGCAACTACATTAGGGTCCTCATCGAATCCCTCCCAGGACTCGCGTAGCATTTGCAATGGTGTTCTCAAACTCCTGCCATACACAAGTTCTGCAGGGCTAAAACCAGTGCTCTCATGAGGAGCTGATCTTAAAGCGAACATAGCGGGAGGAATACACGCTTCCCAGTCGCATTTGTGCTCGTAGCAGAGAGCTCTCAGTATCCGTTTCAGAACGGAATGCATACGCTCTACCGGATTAGATTGCGGGTGATGGATCGAGCTGTGCACTACTTTTATTCCACATTTATCCATAAAGGTAGAGGTAAGGCAGCTGGTGAAGACACTACCATTGTCGCATTGGATTTCAGAAGGAAATCCGACGCGTGCAAAAATGGATAGCAGCGCATCCACGACATGAGGGGAATTGAGCTCCTTAAGGGGTATCGCTTCCGGAAATTTTGTGGCTACACAGAGAGCCGTCAGGATGTACCGACAACCTTGCCATGACTCTGGCAATGGCCCGACTATATCAATTACTAGGCGCCGAAAAGGTTCTGTGATAATCGGCACAAGCTTCATGGGTGCCTTCCACTTGTGCGTGGATTTCCCCGCTCTCTGACAAGTGTCGCATGAGCGCACAAAGTCTTCAATATCCTTCCAGCATTTCGGCCAATAAAACTGAAGGGAAACTCTAGCCTTGCTTTTTTTTATGCCGAGACGCCCTGCCCATGCGTTTTCATGCGCCAGTTCCAATAGTTGGCGACGATACTTTTGTGGCACTAAGAGCTGCTCATACTTGCGACCTTGCGCATTTGTGTAGCTCCGATACAAAAGCCCCGCTTTCTCAAAAAAAGAAACATTCTTTTTCTTTTTTTCTAAGTTTACGCTTTCCATTAGCGCTTTAATCGAGAGGTCCTCACGCTGCTCTCGAATGAGCGTTTCTCGATCAACCCTCGACAGCTCACTCCAACTTTCCGCTACAGGCGAGAGCGTTGCAGCCCTCTCCCTCTGATCCAATGGCGCCATGTCGTCTCCCCTTTCTACGGAAACCGCGCTGGTCGGTCCGGCGATGGGCCGCTCGCGCGACTGCTCACATGACTCACGCGGAAAGTTTCCTCTCTGAGGTTCCGTCGACCCGCCGACAAGGTCACTTGAGAGTTCACCGCTTTGAACAAGGTCAAGCTCTTGCGAGAGCTTCCGCGCTTGCGATCGCGTGAGGGCCATGTACGCTAAGTTGGGGAAGAACGATTTACCCTGCTCTTTGAGAAGCTGCTCTGAGTTGTTGGAGAAGAGATAAGGAAAACGATCGGGAAGCGCGGCAGACACAGCCGCTTCGGTGCGAAGCTTACCGAACGGGCCTTCAATGACAACCGTGGCGATTGGTAAGCAAGCACTCTGCTCCTCGGCGACTTGCCTGATCCACACGCATTCTCCTGTAAAGTCGTCCGGAGACACCAATGAAGGATGGACAACATCCATGGTTGCCGCGGAGTCTCTAAGTGCTCGACACGCTTTCCCATTCACACTAACTTCTTGGATATACGGCTCCAACAACTGCATGTTCTTTTCCGATTCTCTAATTGTTGCAAAAGCAAACTTTTGCTTACAGTTTATCGCGATGTGCCCTTCCTTTTTGCAGTTGTAGCAGATTAGTGGCTTCCGTGATTCAAACGCCCGTGTGGTATCAGTGCGTTGTTTAGAAACCTCACTCGATTTTTCCGCTTCTGTTTTCCCTTCCTCTACAGTGTCCTTCGTAAGAGACGGGTCCTTTTTGAAATTACGGTGCGGAGCGGGTTTCCGTTGATCAGGTTTCTTTGAAAAGCCCTCTTTTCCTTCATCCTTTTCAACGCGCACTGCCCTGCTATGCAACTTTCGGCGAGTATAATACTCCTCAGCTAACTCTGCTGCCTTGTTTAGCTGTACTTCACCAAGTTTGTCCTGCAGCCAAAGTTTGACATCCTCCTCGATGCAGCGGTAGAATTGCTCCAATGCAACGCATTCCACCACTTTATCGCGGTCGTCATAAACACCTTCGCCCTTGAGCCATTCAATCAAATCGGCTTTAAGACGAAACGCGAAGTCAACGTGTGACTCATTCCCCTTTTTAGCATACCGGAACCTTTGCCTGAAAGCCTCGGGTGACAACTTATAACGTCTCAAGAGCACTTCCTTAACCTCGTCATAGCTCTCAAACGCTTCCCTCGACAAGCAAGTTATCGCGTCGGACACTTCGCCGGGAAGAAGAGCTAGCAGGTTCCGCGCCCAAAGAGACTGCTCCAAAGCATTTCGCTCACAGACGTGTTCAAACTTGACGAGATACTTCGCCATGTCCTCGCCTACTACGAACGGTGGCAGTTGATCCCGAATTCTAATACCGCTGACCTTAATCGTCGGAGAAGCTGCGCTAGGCGCCTGCGAACACTGTAGGATTGCCAATTCTATTCGTTTCATCTCGAGGCGCTCCTGTCTCTCGGCCTCCTCGCGACGTTCGCGCCTTTCAGCTTCTTCACGTTCGCGAGCTTCGCGCCTTTCAGCTTCTTCGCGAGCTTCGCGCCTTTCAGCTTCTTCACGTTCGCGAGCTTCGCGCCTTTCAGCTTCTTCGCGAGCTTCGCGCCTTTCAGCTTCTTCGCGAGCTTCGCGCCTTTCAGCTTCTTCACGTTCGCGAGCTTCTCGCCTTTCAGCCTCTTCACGTTCGCGAGCTTCTCGCCTTTCTTCACGTTCGCGAGCTTCTCGCCTTTCAGCTTCTTCACGTTCGCGAGCTTCTCGCTTTTCAGCCTCCTCGCGGCGTGCTTTGATATCCACCCAGGCCTCATCGACTTCCTCAGCCGACACTCCCTCATCCTTCATGATCTCAAGGATCGCTTGTTTTCGTTTCGCACGGCCCAAAGTAATGCCGAGTTCCTCACAAATTTCGATGAATTCCTTCACTTTAAGGTTCTCCATCGTTCACACTAGCCTCTTGCTGTTTGCCCCTGTTAAGAATTTACTTGCCGTACCCACTAAAAGTCTACTAGCAAGACGCGCAAGCAATTTTTCACACTCCCGTGTTTACCACCTCCGCATTAACTTTGGTTTCAAAGCACTTCAACTTGGCTTGAAACGATCAAAGCTCACTCTAATGCTTCACACAGCCCTTCTCTAAACTACTACAACCTGAGCTGGAGTAGTCTGGTGAACTGAGGGGAAAACATCAGGCACTCACCGCATCGATGTCGCTGACGCCGGCCGATCCCGCAGCTGCCAACCACTGTTGCGTAGCGTATGTTTATCAGCTCGCGACTGCTTCTGCGCAGAGCTGATAAGACGAGCGGACGAGACGACGGTGAGTTAAACAAGGTTTATGTACAGCATATATACAGAGGCGTTACAATTTCGGCACTGGGGCCGACAGAGACTCGAAGAGCCGAGCTCTCCTCTCTAATCCATAGGTCAACTTTTCGCCTAAGACCGCCGATCGCGACACGCCGCAGGGCTTCTTTTATTTGCACCGGGTCCAACCAAAATGTCCAATCAGAAGCGCCGCTGGTCGTCAGGGCAGACTCCTCCAATGGGGTTGCCGCGCCATGCGTCAGACCACCAGACACGAGGACGCCGGCTCGCTGTCACGTGCGCAGCTGACTCAATGCACGTGGGCCAGAGGGGCGCCGCGCGTGTTCACGCCGTCGAGTTGATCGCGCCAGGCGGACTGCGGGCTGGCCTTGACCCAGATTGCCTTTTTCAGAGGCACGGACGTTTGACGAGGACTCGCTGGCATAACAGCGCGCACACGGTGCGCCCATGCCGACTCGCCTGACTGCTTTCCCTTTCCCGGCGGCAGCGGGGGCCATGTCCGAGACAGTCGCCTGCGTCCTTTCCCTCCTAAACTTTCCTCCTCAATCTTTACCTCCCACTCCCCCTTCCCGCGCGCGAAACCGTGTCGGTGCCTTCGTATTGAAAGACAATAACAGCTCCGCGCTTTTCTCTTCACTTTCCTCATTAAAGAACCTCTACCGCAAGGCTGCGGCGCGTGTATGCGGCTACGTTAAAGTGGCGCTCTCGGCGCCATCGATGTGTGCAGCATTCGTAAATGCCCGCCGCTCTACCCCTACTTTCGAGAGTTGCGGGAAAGCTCGCCGCCTGTCAATGGAGCGCGGGCGGTTTGGGGTTGCTGAGTTCGATATATCCATTATATGTCAAACTTTGTTCGAAATAAAAAATCAATAATGCATGCGATTTCCCGCGTGATATAGGAACCGTTTGATATAGGCAATAATTCGATATATCCGTGTTCGATATATTGAGGTTTGACTGTAGATGTTCTCGACAGCAGCACCAGTGGTCAGCCACAAACACATTCCAACATGTTTGCTATTTGAGCCTCTCGAAAAGGCCAAGGCACTCCTGTGAGCCAATGAGAGCTTACACCATGAGAAACTCATGTCCCCGACAGCACTCCCATGGCACTCATACAGCCAAAAGAACTACAAAGAATCCAAAAATGACCAAAAATTCATTAACTTCAGTTACAAGAGAATGCAACTAGCCCAACCTTTTGCTTCAGATGCAATTATACCTTTTTCACTGGGTTACTGACACTCCAACATATATAAAAGCGCACGTGATGTCCTTGCGCGCAAATGTACACACCTGTTACTAGTGTGTACAGAGCAGTTTTCTAGGCATATTTACACCATCAATTTTCACCCATGCTCTTCTTAAGACATGCGAGCGTTCGTACTGTAGCACATCTTGCAAAAGGAATTCCTCACCTCCAGTATTCCTAGCTCGTGGACGGTGTTGTGTAGGAACGAGAGGGTACGGGATGCCATCTCGGATGTTCGATTCTGGAAATAAGAATGCACATCAATATGCGCGTAAGTATAATCATGCTGCAAATTTGGCTCTTTTTCTAAAAACAGAGAGAAGGACAATATTGTCATCTTGGAGTTGTCCGATCTCTCCAATCCTCAAATTCACTTTTATGTACCACTGCTTGTGACTTGTATTCACATATCTAAAGCCAAAAATTATCCATGAGTTTTTCTGGCCCCATTAACATCATATAAAAACAAGAGAACCACATACCACTCACTTGGTTTCGTGGTCCAACAAAGTTTTCAAGTTCTGCTGTGTGTAAGCATTTACTAGTATAAATGTCCCACGATTGCATCCCCCGTCGGAAGCTGTCTTTGTTTGCCGCAATCCTCAACTGCACGTCATGAGTACATCGGTTCTAAGACAGCAAAGCCACAGCTAGTTCTGCATAGTGTACTGTATTTACTTGCGTAATGAACAAACTTTTCTCAAAAAATCGAAGCAGAGTTGGAGGTGTGTTTATAATGCGGAGCAAATTTTATTAAAACATTTTGGGATGAGAAAATAATGCGGTAATGCAAAAAAAAGTTTAGTCACTAAGCCTTTTGAAATCGACGTGCACGAACACTGTTTGGAAACGGCTTCTTTGTTGCACTTCACTCATCATGGGTGGTTGATGACGCTATCTTTCCCAAGCTGTGTCCGCCCCACCCGCACTTGACATAAAAGCGCTTTGCGGCCATTTTTCCTCCCAATCAACTAAACGCAACAGTAGAATCTGCTGTGATCTCGAGAGGCGGCCAGAAGCGTGCGCTATGATGTACTTTGCCAACTTCATGGCAACCACACACGACAATCGCGACAACGGCATTGACATTGTAGAAAGTAACTAACAATGCAGGAAGCTACCACCAAAGCACACCATGAATAATAATATTAGCAACAAATGCAGCCGCCGCCTCACTGTCCACATGAGAAGTTGCTAAAGAAAAGGTAGCCTATATCTTGCCTTCCTTGAGGTACGTACGGATAACAAGCACTAAGAGAAAATTGCAACCGAAGCAAGAATTAGGGATGTTTCCATGTTATGTAAAAAGTGACGATCTTTCTGGGCAACAGGAGATTTTTTCTGGTTTTTCAGAAACCTGCGACACAATGGCGACGAAGGGCCCTTCACGACAGCCATAGCGACAGCAAATGCAGTTGTCGTCACTCGAAAATTGCATGCATGTGATTGGGCTTTAAAGTTTTGTATTTGCTGGAAGTGACTGTAGGTTGGCGCAGGCAGTTTCATGACCTCCGCTCTCTGTGTGCTTGTCAGCTGTGTGTCTCTACACTCACATCGTTCGCGAAACCTGCTGTGGCACATTGATAATTAAAATACGCCAGGCCTGCGCGGTAGGCGCAGCACAGTCACGTCCAAAGCCAGAAGAGCAGCCTTTCAGAGCCTTTTCAAAACACTCATTCGGTAACTACTACAAGCACACTTGCTTGGTACCCACTAGGACATTAATAATAAACTTTCGGGTAATAGGCCAGCACTCGCTATGCTATTTTTCGTCATTCTTCTGAGAAGCATGGTATCTGCTAAACACCTGCTAGGAATTTTGTGCCAATTGTCCATGCAGTGGCTGATGACGATGAAGATTCATGGCTGAAGTGTGTATGTGCCACAGTTAATAAGGGAACAACAACAAGCTTTTGTGATGGTTTAGAGTATTGGACGGCCTACTCGTTATGCTATTCACATTGTGCGACGACTGGTTCTTCTTTCACTGTTGTAAAATGCTTTATAAGTCATATTATGCGATTGCTTTCCAGACATCAAGCCTGCCTAAGGCAAGTCTGACAACAACTCACAAGCACCAGTGTAGCTCAGTGGTAGAATACTGGGCTGGCACCCAGCGGACCTGGGTTCAAGCCCCACAGTGCCATTGGTGCTAGGTCATGCCTGCCTAAGGCAAGTTTGACAACAAGTTACAAGCACCAGAGTAACTCAGAGGTAGATTATTGGGCTGCCAACCAGCGGACCCTGGTTCAAGCCCTACTGTGTGATTAGTGCAAGGTTTTTTTTCTTTTCTAATTTCGCACAATGTGGTTACGAACACCGGCGGCGGCGGCAGCGGCGGACAGCAACAACTTCGCGTGACCCTAAAAGTGATCGCATAACAGCTTTCGCTGTAAAAAGACAGTAGACGTGCAGCGCATAGATATAAAGAAGTAAACTATGGCGCACGTAAGCAGGCGAATGAGGGGAGAGAGCGAGCCAAGGTGACCAAGTGGGGTCGGCATTATAATTTGATTGATATGTGGTGTTTAACGTCCCAAAACCACCATATGATTATGAGAGACACCGTAGTGGAGGGCTCCGGAAATTTTGACCACCTGGGGTTCTTTAACGTGCACCCGAATCTGAGCACACAGGCCTACAACATTTCCACCTCCATCGGAAATGCAGCTGCCGCAGCCGGGATTTGATCCCACGACCTGCGGGTCAGCAGCCGAGTACCTTAGCCACTAGACCACCACGGCGTGTCGGCATTATAATAAGATATGGAGGAGATCCAACAAGCAAGGAGGCACCAGAAGTCGATTAGTAAGACTGCAGCGGAGATTGTAGGAAGTGCGCTTATTACGCGAGGAGAAAAAAATATCCATATTTTGGCGACTGAAGTTGGAGTTGTGTTAGTGCGTTCATTACGTGAGTAAATACGCTATATGTTGGACACAAGCTCAATTTCACCATGTGGCACTCAAAGTATTCCCTGACCAATTTTTTACACATAACTCAACATGAAATTTCGCAATATATGTCATTTACAAGTCTGGTCCGTTACTGATAAATGCTTGCAGCCAGAACACAATCATACATGTTTTTATTGCTCATTAAATTGTAAAGTCCACTCATCAAGCTGTTTTTCTGTGTTGCTCTCCACTATGCATAAAGCTAAAGCAACAAAATAAACCAAGGAACCAATTTACATGATCCAAATCACACTGAAAACGATGTTGGGAGCGAGAAAATAAGGAGAAACAAACTTGCAAACTTTCACCAGCAGACATGTGACACAGCTTGGTGAAACTACAAGGTTCGCAGCGGTGCGATGCTATGACAACACCTAGCATTCATTCAGCAACTCTCAGCTTGTGCCTGCAAGACTTTGATGTGCAGCTCTGTGTCATTCTCTGCTTTTATTACAGTTTTGTTCTTGAATGGTTAGCCACACAACAAATGACACGTGTGAGAAAAGATAACACAAACCAGCACTAGTAAAAAGTAACCTTTTTGCAAATAATAAAGGCACAGCTACAGCATTTCTATAGAGGGCATCAAATAAAGAGACAGGAAGGTTAGGTAAGCATTGTCAAAATGCCTGTCAACTGAAAGAGAATGAGCATTAGCCCTTACAGTCCTTGACATTGAGACACACGTATATATTTCATGCATCGAGATACACAATACAAAAGAACAAGGAAAAGTGCAGGACTAAAATGATGAGAAGCTGTTGGACAGCAAATGTCACTAGACCTGTCCTTGCCGAGGCATCACGACATTTTTGTATCAGGTACTACTTCTGAAGATACAATAACTTCTCTGCATCAGGGGTGCAAGTGCCTGCTACTCTGATTAAGAAGGTTGCTTTGACGGAATGCTGGCTTTAGCATCATTTTCCGCTTGAAGTTTTATCACACATAACGGTACTCATACTGAATGCACGCCATAAACAAAACTCATCTTGAATAAATTCATCAAATGTAACGAGGACAGGCAATGAATATGGGCAGATTGCCTGTACTAATGGACAAAAAGTGTGGTGGCGCACACTACCTGCAGTCGAAGCAGGGCACATTGTCGGGAGAAGAGGTAGTTGCGCAGCTGCAGCAGGGAACCCTTGCTGCGCAGCAGGAGCTGTCGCTCGGCACTGTGGGCGGGGTCTACGCCAAGCCGCAGCCCTCCCCAGGCCTCGCAGCCCAGCTGCGCTAACTGGCACAGCCACTCGGGCATCTCTGCAGCACAGGAAGCAGCATGTAGGCACACCGGAGCACAACACGAGTGAATTTTGTGCCACAATTCGAAGGTTATGCGTTTGGGTGGCATTGCGAAAATTTAACTTTGGCACAACATTGTCCCCAAATAAAAAAATTTCATTCAGCATGGATGTGCAAATCGTAGTCTTGTGCGAATATTCTAATGCTTCGAACATTCAAACGATTATTACAGCATTTAAATTCTATTCAAATTTAAATTATTGAAAATCTCAAAGTATCCGAAGCGAATGAATAAATGTATGGTCTGCATGTAACCTCTTGTAAAGATGGTTTCACTGCAGTAGAGCGATATTAAGCCATGAAAATGCATATTTAAATATATATTAATCTGTGCGCGTATCTTGTACAGATGGTTTCACTGCAGTGAAGTAGTAATAAGCCGTGAAAACACACACCCAGGGGAAATCTACACTGTCGCAAAGCCCCAATTTAAAATGAAGATATTTCCTTCACATCGATTCATTTTTAAGTTTAAAAGCTCGTCTACTGACTTACATGCTCTAAGTATAGCAAAATTTCAAACTTGAACTTTTACAGGTTATCACTTGCACTCTACTGAAAGTCAAATCCTGCTACTTATTCAAGGTTGTTTCTCCTTCCCTTGAAGCACAAAAAAAAAAGGCATCGCACAGGCCTTGTTTCAATTTTTTAAAAATATTGTGTAAGTTGGGTCATGACAAATACACCCATTTTTTTCATAATTTAAGGTATACATGTTATTCGAATTTGATTCGAAATTATTCCACCAAAATCACTATTCCCTTCGAATTTGCTTTGAACCCATGATGTACTACTCACACAAGCCTAACAAATAGTACGTTTTAGGTTAAGCAAACAGTGATTTGGTCAAATAATTTCGAATCGAATGGTTCAAGTAGTATGCATCACACAACATTATAAAAAATGAGCATATTTGTCATGACTCAACCAGCTTGCCAAATATTTTTTAAACTGGAACAAGGCACGCACAAATGACTTCCTGGCACTCCCAAGCTACAATGAAACCAACTTTACAGGAGGATTACATGCAAGCTTTTTTGTTCATTTTGAGTACTTAAAAATGTTGAATATTTAAAATTCACGTCAAAGTGAATTTAGGTACTGTAATATTCTTTCGAATATTTGAAGTATAGAATACTGAACAAGGATAAATTCAAGGTCTCTACTAGCCAAAACCAAGTATAATAAGCAGGAATATCATGGTGGGGTGACTGAGCTCATTTTGATGAACTGAAGTCCTTTAACACTCGCATTGCACTCCACTGAAGTGTGGCTGCATTCACTGGAAATCGAAACCGCTTCTTGTAAGCTCAGCAGCGCAACGATCTAGCTACTGAAAAACTTTAAGGAATAGCTCACGAATAGTTCACTTAGTCCATGATCAGAGGCAACAGGCATGCCAATCACATTGGATAGAAAAGAATAAACATGAGAATGAAAGCAAGTGCTAATCAACTTCAAGTGGTATTTTAGTGGACTAAAAATATAACTGCCTCTCTACTGTGCTTTAGTTATACCAGAGTCCTTTCTAGGTTCTCTGGATTTCATCAACTCGCACTTTTTCTTTCCCTCTTTGCATTGCCACCAGCAGCATTTACAGGCCACCTACTAAGTTGGCCCACAAGACCAAAATTTCAAAGTTTGTCCGTGCTTGTCAAGTGCCATGAGAGACAAACAAAATAAAAATAAACTAAAAGACACTTACCTCCACTGGCCGAATTGATGACCACCTGCGTAAACAGGGCGTCAAGCTCGTCATACTGCACCAGGGCCTCGTCGTACAGCCCCAGTGCCTCGAGCACAAACGCTAGCTCCTCCTGGATAATAACAACGGGGCTCCGGATGTAGACAAGTAGTGCATCGTGGCAAAGTGAAGACTGTACTTGGTGTGATCCAACTGTGCCTAGCCTCAGCAATTAACTGCGATTGTTTCAATGTCATGATAATTTTTATAGGCTAAATCTTCCTCAGCCTCTTTTCAGAAGACAGGAAACTGGCATGCAAAGGTACATTGAAAACTAACTTTGATCATCCTGGCGATTTCAAATACACCTAATGTTAGGCACTCAAGCACTCTGCCTACAGCCACCCCTGAAACAAAGCCACAGAAATCGGAAATCGAACCTGTGACCTCCGGCTAAGCAGCAGAACAAGTCCCTGAACCACACTCATCTGATGTATGGGCACTCATGTTGTGATGCGAAATTCTGAAAGTGAACGTTTTAAAGTCTACTAGAAACATAAGCTCTTTTCCTTTTTTTTTTGTCAAATAAATGAAAATATATCTTTAAGATAACTCCTTTACTAGTCTAATACCCCTGTCACACGGCCACCACCAAACTCTGTTTCACCAAACTCCGTCAACATAAAACTCCCCTAGGGAGTTCGACGGAAATGGAGGTTGTGGCAGTGTCACACGGCATTGACAAGGTTGTAATACCGTATTTACTCGCATAATCCTCGCACTTTTTGGGCGGAAAACCGATGCAAAGTTGAGGGTGCGAGAATTATGCGGAGAAAACTTTCCACGAAAGCGTACAGTGCAAAAAGCAAGCGAAGTGGCCGCGAATCGGGATTCTCACACCAGAAACTAACGAAAAGCTTTGAGAAGTACTAATTAAAACTTACCTCAACATTAAAAGCACTGGTTCAACACAAGGCAAAATTTATTTCAGACACTAAAAGTGCAAGCAAATAGTCGAGAATTAGAACACCATACGCAAAGCTTGTGGGTGTTGCGGCCGTAGCGGTAGCATTCGTCTCGCAACAGGAGCCCTCAAAAGGTAAACGTAGGACGTCAGTATTGGGTTAATGGCTATTTAATAGAATCGTTCATAGTTTCCTTCTGAAAAAAATAAAGTTTACGATCAATCCCAGTTTTAGGCACACGGCAGGCCCAATGCGTCTTGGTGGCTTTCAGCTGCCGTCACCAATAGCGAACAAAAAACTCGTAGACTCCTAAGGGCCTACTGGCGGCCCTGTTGTCGTTGTTTAGTGCATGATCTATCACTTTCAACTTGAAAGCAGTCGTGTAGCTTCAGTATCGCACCGTAACGTCACAAGATTACCAACACAACATACAAAACACGCCGCAATCGCGCACTTGCCACTTTGGCTTGGCTTGGATTGAATCTCCGTGCAGTAATAGTACGCTTGATGCTTAAGAGATGGCGCCAGATGACGCGCGTCACTATCATCAGTGGCTGGAACGAGCAGACGACATTATTGCGGCAGTTTTTGGGGGTGCGATAATTACTCGAGGAAAAAAAGAAGTTGTATTTTTGTTGGGCGATGTGGGGGGTGCGAGGATCATGCGAGTGCAAGGATTAAGCGAGTAAATACAGTAGTTGCCCCAAGGGGCTCAGCCGGTGCTGTTTGATTTTTGCAGAAGTATCCAAATTTCATCTATAGTTGCTTTTTTTTTGTGAATCTTCGTTATGCAGTATTTACAGACGCACACTATTCAGCAGGTCTGAAGCAAACATAGCATTAAAGACTATTTCAAATGAAAAAGAATACGCTAAATGTAGTGATGCTTGCAGTGACACTGGCCACCTTCTGCCTAACAATGTTTGTTTACAATTACAGTGTGCTCTACAACTAGTTGTTTGTGTACGAAAGTTCTTGTGTTTGCTTGCCTCGTCAGCACACATATTGTTTTCTGTATGCTGTGCTGCGTCTTCAGCAGGTGACGATGATGCAGCGCTGTCAGTCATTCCTCTCATGTACAAACGCAAACACGACGACGACAATAACCGTACGCACGGAAGAAATATCCTGTGGCCCAACTCGCGCAACACCATGTGGAGGGCATATATGTGGAGAGTAGCTGCACTCTGGTGTGTGTGTGTATATGTATGTGTGTGAAGAAACATGTTATGTATGAGTACTGAAACGAAAGAACATTTAATATTGCCAAAATGCATTATGGTTTTCACTGAGGCAATATAGTGCTAGAAATTTTTTCTGACCTGCAGACTACTGAAGACGAGAGTACCTCTATTCGCTGCAAAAGGAGATCGCCGAACTTCCTTTGCAAAATGCTCCATTTAACTTCGTTTGCATAAGGAATGGACTGCATCTCCCTTGTCAAAAGTACGAGAGAGTTAGACGGTGTTCACCGGTGCCCATGTGACAGAGGTAAAAACTCCCTTCGCGCTTATGCGTCTCATCTTCAAATCCCGCCCAGCAATCGCAACAGGTTCCAATGTGTCTGCATGCTAACTACCTGTCTCCGTACCTGCAGGAAAAAGAAGTGCAGGAAAGACCATTGGGACGCGGTTCTCCGCTCCCGCTGCATCCGTATGAGCTCCTCGTAACGACCCAGATGGCGCCCCGTGGCGTGCAACAGTAGCTGCCGCAGACGCCCCAGAAGCGCTGCCACACCGACCGAACCGCTCGAGTCTGTTGACACCTGTACACACCTGCAAGGCAGACAAGCAGTGCATGTTGAAAGGCAACAACGTGACGAAGGAGAGATGATGAGGAATGAGCAGGCATGCTCAGTGAATCACCACTAAGCATGCAGTAGACTAACATAAATTCAACCACTGAAAGCTACAGCATTTGATTGAATTTACCGATATCTAGGCTTGTGTGAACATTCGAACGATTCAAATATTCGAACGAATAATGCAGTATCCGAATTCATTTTTAATTGAGTTTGAATCATTAAAAATTTCTAATTATTCGAAACGAACGAATAGGTGCATATTAATCTGCTTGTAACACTCTGTAAAGGTGGTTTCAATCCAGTAGAGGGGTGCTAAGCCGTGAAAGCACCTATCCAAGAGTATTAGTCTGCATGTAAAAGTGGTTTCACTGCAGTAAAGTGGTGCTAAGCAGTCAAAACACATTTTCAAAAGAAAATCATCACAGCAGCGAAGCCCCACTTCAAGGTTTTAATGAAGAATTACACTCACATCGATTCTGTGTGTGTGTGTATGTTTTTTTCAGTTTATAAGCTCAATACACCGACTTATATGCTTTAAGTATAGGAAATTTTAAAACGTAGCATATTTTACTGGCTATCACAATGACTGTACCGAAAGTGAAATCCTGCTACTATTCAAAACTGTTGCCCCTTTCCTTGATGCCAAAAGAAAAAGGGCCTTTGCGCAGAAGTTGTTTCAATTTTTGAAAAATATTGTGCAGGTTAGTTTGGTCACGATGAATATGCCCTTTTTTCATAATAATTTGTGATATATATATATATATATATATATATATATATATATATATATATATATATATATAGTGGGAGTAATAATTCAATGGGCCAGTTAGTCTTCGTGAAGGTATGGGATATGGCACAACGGGAGCGTTGTCAACAAGGATAAATATATTTATTTCCCAACAGTTTCAGGAGGGGTCCTCCCTTCATCAGGGGATGAGTTATACTGACATGAGCTTCCAAACTTCGCTGCTGCCGCGTCCCTCTCGCCTTGAAAAATGTTTGCGAGAGTGAGAGGGAACTAGAAAAAGGAAAAAAAACAAAAAAGGCGGAGAAAAAAGACGAAAAAGAAAAAGAAAGTAAAAAAGAGGAAGAACCACTGTCAACACTGAGAACGAAGCCAACTGTCCGTCTACATCCACATACGGTTCATATCACGTGCTGTTCAGTTCTTGACGTGTGTTGGGCCACCCAAGATTGTCGCCGCGGTGCCGGGAGGGTCCGTGACGGCGTGCATAAAGAAAGGGGTTTCCCCGTAATGGGTCGGTCGGCGGGCGGCGGGCGTAAAGGAAGGAATTCCCGTTAATGGGTCGGTCGGCTATTTACCTTTAATCTTCGTCCGTTTCCCTTCAATAGTCATCAAGTGGTAGGCGAACGTAAACACTTTGTATGTGCATGTGGAAAAAAAAAAAAACAAGAAAGGACAGTGTACACTACGAGTCAGTCAGAAAAAAGCATGGTCTCCAGCTATCAATCTTTGTCACCAATTTTCTCCTGGCTTACTTCTCGGAGGCAGTTGAGTTTTCCGGGGTCCTCGTTGATATTTCAAAACTGTGGTTTGGCAGGCGCAGATGTCTAGACAAAAGTAGCTTCGTGGCGCTGATGAGGAGTAAGTTAGTACAAGCTTGTACTAACTTACTCCTCATCAGCGCCACGAATCAACAACATACTTTCCCGCCATTTCAACATAATCAGGCAAAGCAAACGACTAACTTTTATTTTCGCGAAGCCACCTCACGTGGTGTACCGCCGGGATAAAAATCTAAAGGACATTTTTGTCAGAGCAAAAACAAACACCCCCAAATTTCAATCAGGGTGCCATCCCTGCGGAAAAGCTCGAGGCAAGGTATGTCCACAGATGGTCACAACACGTGAATCCAAAGCGAACTTCTCGGATTTCAAATTCTGCATAACTGAAAGCCTTAATTGTGACTCCAGTAATGTAATATACATGCTACATTGCAACATCTGTGGACAAGAATATATCGGCCAAACAGACACGCCATTTCGGCTGCGGTTCAATAATCACCGGTACCACGCCACTTCACTGCCGAAGCTACCTTTATCTAGACATCTGCGCCTGCCAAACCACAGTTTTGAAAATATCAGCGTAACTCTTTTGCAGTCCGGTTTCTCAAAGAGACGCGAGCGCGAACAGCGTGAGGCATATTTTATTTTCAAATTTCGTACATTAGTAGCCGGCATCAACGAGGACCCCGGAAAACTCAACTGCCTCCGAGAAGTAAGCCAGGAGAAAATTGGTGACAAAGATTGATAGCTGGAGACCATGCTTTTTTCTGACTGACTCGTACGTGTACACTGTCCTTTCTTGTTTTTGTTTTGTTTTTCCACATGCACATACAAAGTGTTTACGTTCGCCTACCACTTGATGACCATTGAAGGGAAACGGACGAAGATTAAAGGTAAATAGCCGACCGACCCATTAACGGGAATTCCTTCCTTTACGCCCGCCGCCCGCCGACCGACCCATTACGGGGAAACCCCTTTCTTTATGCACGCCGTCACGGACCCTCCCGGCACCGCGGGGACAATCTTGGTTGGCCCAACACACGTCAAGAACTGAACAGCACGTGATATGAACTGTATGTGGATGTAGACGGACAGTTGGCTCCGTTCTCAGTGTTGACAGTGGTTCTTGCTCTTTTTTACTTTCTTTCTTTTCTTTCTTTTTCTTTTTCGTCTTTTTTCTCCCCCTTTTTTGTTTTTTTTTTCCTTTTTCTAGTTCCCTCTCACTCTCGCAAACATTTTTCAAGGCGAGAGGGACGCGGCAGCAACGAAGTTTGGAAGCTCATGTCAGTATAACTCATCCCCTGATGAAGGGAGGACCCCTCCTGAAACTGTTGGAAAATAAATATATTTATCCTTGTTGACAACGCTCCCGTTGTGCCATATCCCACATATATAATATATATATATATATATATTGTAAGAATTCATTGGACGTCATCTTCCTCATCTGTCAATAACTATCATCACTCTTCGCCCGTTCCTCTTCATCATCGGCGCCATCTTGCTGTTGCTTGAATAAAGCGTCAGCTGAACCGTTGTATTTCAAGCAACAGCAAGATGGCGCCGATGATGAAGAGGAACACGGGCGAAGACTGATGATGGTTATTGACAGATGAGGAAGATGACGTGCAATGAATTCTTACAATACATACTATATATATATATATATATATATATATATATATATATACTATTCGAATTCGCTTCGAACCTAAAATTCAGTATTCACAGAAGCTTACTAATATCTGAAGTGTTCAATGTTAGCTAAGCTATGCCATAAAACACAGCTACAGGCCTATTCGACAAACAGCCTAGTTCAGCTGAGTGCTTGATCATTATATAGCAGAGAAAAAAAAAAACATGACTCAGAGTGACTCACAGTGAGGCCTAACAGGGACACCCCCAAGTGCTAAGTGACTCCCATCTCCATGCAACTTCTGATACATCTAAATACATATCCTCAGACTGAGCAGACGTTATTTCCTTTGCTTCTCAGCATACACAAAAGATGGTGCTAATGTATGGCCTTTCGAACCCCTTACCTGTAGCTTACATAAGCCGGACGGAGCGCACAAACAACACAGCTTGAGAAAATTAGGAAAAGAAAATGGGTCGAATTGGGCCCTTCATTGTAAATACTGCAATTGCGAGCAGGCGCATGACGAAATTGGGATTCTGGGCAAAACTCACAACAAGTGGCGGGTGAAATACTTGAGGCGCTTCACGCAGCAAAAAATGACGAAGCACGTTTAGTGACAATTCTGTGGGATTACACAGACGGGAACGTGCTTTTATGTAATATTTTTTTATAATCTCAGTGAACAAGAACTACTAAGGTAGAGTTATATATGAAGCATAGCACAAGAACGTGAGCCTTGTATTTTTTGTTTAATAGGAAGCCAATTATGACATGGCTGTGCTATCTCATGACTATATATTATTGAGCTTTGCTCAGCTGTATAAGCGATTGGCACTCTATCCCCATCGCCACCTTCTTAACTGCTTACTGTGTACATTTCTGGTTAGGTAAACATTTCCTTAATGCTATCACTCTAAAATAATCATTTCTTTCTGTAACACGTGATACATACTATCCTAACTATTAAAAGCAAAATTGTTCAACCAAGTCACTATTTGCGACAAACCTCAAATTCACTATTCATCTAATCCAAGCGCTTTCGAATTAGCTTTCCACCCATGTCATAATGACACTCCTGGGATGAGTCTTATTCATATTCCCCCATTTAGAAGTGTATCAGGTGCACCCAACCAAACCAACCGGTCAAAAGTCTTGCTGGGGAAGTCGGCGCGCATGCGGTCATACACAGTGGCACGTGAGAGGAGCTTGGCCTTGTTGGCACGCCGCGCATCAGTCGGCTCCACGGCGACCAGCATCCAGTCGTAGATGCCAGCTTCTTTGAGCTGCGACATCCACTCGATAATTTCATCTCGCACCCGAGACCGATATGCCTCCAGGTCCTGCAAAAGAAAGGCGATGGGACACGAGTGTGGCTAGACCTCAAGACGCATCTATTTTGTAAGCAGCAGAACATGTTGACAGAAGAGCACATTCACGAACTATTACGTAATGCATCTTGACAAGACCAATACAAAAAGAAAAACAGGACAAGAACAGAAAAAAAGCAGACACAACACTGTGCCCCTGCTTTTTTTCATCCGTCTCAGTCATTTTTCACATTGTCACATCAATATGTCAAGAGTGTTCAAATGCTATAAAGAACATGAACGAAGAGACTGGATACACCTGGATACACAAACAACTTTGCGTGTTATTTGTCTATGTTTCGATTCGTAAAATGTCCACATGTTTTGCAAAGACAGCAAGTGACACGTTTAGGTTTAAGGATGTCCCAATAAAACATAGGCCTACAGTGGCTATTAAAATTTTTTCACAGAATCAGATTTAAAAATGATAAATGAGGCAACATAGAGGCACATCATGTTAAACTACACTTATAGATTAGACTTCAGTAGGAAGACTACCATTTTTCGTAATCAATGAGAAAATCGTCAACAAAAAGTGAGCGCTTAATTACCACCTCACCAGGCTACTGCAACATCACATAGTTTGACCCTGTACAGTTTCGTCCAGTTAAGCGTTTAAGTTAGCAAATATAGACGAGCAAATAGGGACGGTGCATGGTTCAAGAGAAAAAAAAAATGCAATATATCAAACATACTTTGAAATACTTCCTGTGCCAACAGAACACATGACTGAGATGGTATTTGACAACCTGTAATCATGCAAACTGTATTGGGAATAAGGCATAAACATGATATTCAAAACCAGAAATTTTGCCAATCATCTGTGCCAACAAATACAGCACCAACCCTTTTCAATCAAATGAACTCGTGTACAACTTTGAAGGATATTTTACCACTTGAAACACTTATTTTACCTTTCAGACATACTACCATCATGAAAACAGACCATGTGTCAACATTCATATTTTTTAGCAAGTTTACACGCGACATAACAGCGATACTATCATGAGACATTCTGTAAGTTAGAGGCTCAAAATTAATTTCAACTGCTCTAGGTTATTCAACATGCCCTTAAACGTAAGCACACTGGCGCTTCTGTCTTTTGCCCCCCTGAAATGTGATCCCTGTAGCTGAGAGCTGAACCTGCACCTGAGCGCTTAGCAACGCAACATTCAATCGGCCAACACAGCAAGCAAAACAACATACAGGCACTGCAAGCCATGCTCACATTGCAATCGGTGCAGTAAACGTGCAGGTGTGCCTGATCGAGCAGACGGCAGTCCTTCTCTCGAGACAGTTGGGCCGCATCGTACTCGACAAAGCGACACTCCACCCACACCGTCTTCGGGCCCCGCCCATAGGACCTGCATGGTTTCGATCGGGCACCGAAGTGTTTGCTCCACATCTGCACAACTGATGCCTTCATCTATGACTGCCATTGGCTGAAAGCAGGATCGAGATACCATGCATAAATCTGACAAGCATTTATTTCCTACAATCGGCTGAGCTTCTATCAAGTGAGCTGTCGCAATCAGCATAAGGTTCCTGAAAGTCTTCCATGATGGATAACAGTCATCATTAGAAGACAGTCTCTATTTCGGAAATTTAGAGTACACCTTGAAAATAATTTTAAATGCTTCAAAAGTTGAGAGAAGAATAAAAACAAAACACATTAAACAAAGTACATTGTCACTTCACACCTATGAAGAAACAAGCATTCCACACATTAGCTGTATGAACGACCCAACTACACAAAATGGAAACTGAACCTGCTGACTGTAATCCTCAGAAAATCATGCTAGCAGATCTGAATACCAGGTGTTCTTTTTCCTACCTATCCCAAATCGTTAAAATAAGATGTTCATAGATTATTGAGATGGAACAGTTTCTGTTCAAATGTCCAGACTGACAGATTGTAAACAAAGAATAGTTTCTAAAGTCTTGCGACTTATATTGAGACATGTTAGCCGATTACTGATGTCAGGTGGTGAAAGCAAATGATAAGGTTAAAACTATTGATGAAGTTGTTCGCACGAGTAAAGAACTTTTCAGTGAACAAGCTTCTATGGGAGATATGCAAATGAACACTTCACATACAAATTCTCTCTAATCTAAACTGCACAAAAGCAGATATAAATAATTATGCAATTTAAAATAGCCACAACAGCTCAACTGTAAAACAAGAAACTGCAGCACTCTTGAACTAGCAGCTGACAACAAGCAAATGCTTATATTGTTACGTGAATGACAAGTCGTCGTAAAGCACCCCCATTGCAGTAAAATAGAAAGTTGAGCTAGTTGGTATACCACCAGGATTGATACAGCGCTAAAATACGAAGACATAAAAAACGGAGAGCACAAGACGAGCGCTGTTTTGCAACTTAAAGTTTCTGCTCTCCAACTTAAAGGTTTAAAAATGCCAATTTCTTTGTTTTTTTCTGGCTAGCTGTAGTAGGAGGCCTGTTGAAGTGGGTAAAAAATCAAGGTCGTCCTGACACACACCAGTAGTGTACAAAAAAGTATAATAGAGTATCAGTACTGCCATATGTCCATAAATTTTTTATGACGTTTAGAATGAAGTTTTTTGCTAAAGAAAGGCTAGCTCCAATCTGGCCTCTTGCTTAGAAAAAACAAAAAGAGTAGAGATGAAAAAACAGCCAGTTATGAAATTAAAGATGTACCCACTTATGTACGTTGTAAGTGTTGGGTTGTATAAGGAACTCCCTTAACTTCCATTACATTGTACAAGGAACAAAGCGGTAAATGTATTAACATTTGCTTAAAGGAGCATAATCAGTAATTGATAAAGCCTAATGCATTGCATCTTGCATCGCATTGTAATTCGTCTGGCTGCTATCCTGCGTTTGTGCGGAAGTACTTCCGAGACAAAGTTGCACATCATCCCCATGAAGTGAACGAGGCATTTCACATTTAAAAAATTGGAGACGCATGCGTTAGCCAGGCATTGATTTTATTAAAAGACAAAGTTTGAATACCTGCTTGGCAAAAGTAATGTTAAGAGACAAGTTTCGATTTTCTAGCTGATGCACACGCGTTGATATTCAATGAAATGTCTAATGCATACACGTGTGTCCTGCTCAGCATTGTTTTCCTGTGTTTTTCTTTCTTATTGAAAAAGGGTTTATTGGCGAATGTTGCGACGGTGGTCCTACGACGAAACACGATCGGACAAGAGCAACGGTCAAGCAGATGCCGGCGATGATCAGCACGAGCCGAGCGAGCGAAGCCCAGCACCCAGTACCCAAGCGGTGGCGATGTTGCTTGCCAACAATGCGTTTTCTTCTTCACAATTTGCCCCCGCCAAAAAAGAGCCATCCTGGCGACCTAAGAGTCTGGAGGCAGAGGGCTATGATATGGCTTAAGGCGGGCGACGTGGACGATGTCACGTCCACGCCGGCGCATGTCGTCACATGGGGAAAGTGGCTCGATGAGAAAATTCACCGGCGAGGTTTGCTCCAAAACGCGGTATGGGCCCTCGTACTTTGGAACGAGTTTTGAGAAAATGCCGGGGATTTGGTAAGGAACAGCCAGCCATACAAGTGATCCCGGGGAATAGCTGGGGCTTTGTGAAGAGTCGGCATTGTTTTCTTTCTGGCGCTGTTGTTCTTGTGACGTAAAGGTGCGTGCGAGTTCACGGCACTCTTCCGCATTTCGGGCAGCTTCGGACACAGATGGGCATTCGGATGCGTCAGGACGGTATGGAAGGAGAGTGTCGATGGTGTGAGATGGTTCGCGTCCATAAAGAAGAAAGAAAGGTGAAAATCCAGTGGTAGACTGTGTCGCGGTGTTATATGCGAACGTGATGAATGGAAGAATGCGATCCCAGTTAGTATGATCGGATGTCACATACATGGCGAGCATATCGCCAAGGGTGCGGTTAAATCTTTCCGTGAGCCCGTTAGTCTGCGGGTGGTATGCCGTGGTCTTGCGATGAACAACATGGCATTCAGAAAGCAGAGACGTGACGACTTCTGATAGGAAGGCTCGACCTCGGTCGCTTAGTAGTTCTCGAGGTGCACCATGTCGTAGTATGAAGCGATGAAGGATGAAGGATGCTACGTCCCGCGCAGTGGCACTTGGAAGGGCGGCGGTCTCAGCGTAGCGTGTTAAATGGTCCACAGCGACTATGATCCACCGATTTTCATCTGATGTTGTCGGTAGAGGGCCATAGAGATCGATTCCGATCCGATCGAAAGGTTTGGCAGGGCACGAAAGCGGTTGAAGCGCACCGGACGAGTGGAAAGGCGGTGATTTGCGGCGTTGAGAGTCAGGGCAGCCCATAACGAATTTTCGAACGAAATTATACATTCCGCGCCAGTAGAAGCGATGGTGAATGCGTTCGTAAGTTTTGAAAACTCTGGCATGACCACATTGGGGATCGTCGTGAAAGGAGGCGCAGATTTGTGATCGCAAGCTGCGCGGGACAACCAAGAGCCACTTACGACCTTCGGGGGCGTAGTTGCGTCGGTGTAGCAGCCGATCACGAATGGCGAAATGTGCAGCTTGACGTCGGAGAGATCGTGGTACCGCAGTAGTTGACGATCCAGAGAGACAGTTAAAAAGGGAAGCGATCCACGGGTCCTTGTATTGTTCACTGGTAAAGGAGTCGAGGTCGAGAGATGCGACGGAGTTGGTACCAGTGGTTCCGCAGGCCGAGTCGGGAGGTAAAGGCGAACGCGACAGGGCGTCGGCGTCAGAATGCTTGCGTCCGCTGCGATAGATGACACAAATGTCGTACTCCTGGATTTGCAGTGCCCACCGAGCTAGGCGGCCAGAAGGATCTTTCAATGTGGCGAGCCAACAAAGTGCATGGTGGTCCGTTACCAAGTCGAATGGGCGACCGTACAAATAAGGGCGGAACTTGCGAAGCGCCCACACTAGCGCCAAGCACTCTTTTTCAGTGACGCTGTAATTGGCCTCAGCTTTAGTAAGTGTGCGACTCGCATAAGCGACGACGTATTCGGAGTAGCCCGGCTTGCGTTGGGCGAGGACGGCGCCTAGACCAACCCCACTAGCGTCTGTGTGAACTTCCGTTGCAGCTGTGGGGTCGAAATGCCGAAGAATTGGAGGAGATGTTAGCAGACTACGAGCGTGGCAAACGCGACGTCGCAGTCAGAAGACCAGGATGAAAGGTCTGCATCACCGTGTAGGAGGTTTGGCAGTGGTGACATGATCGACGCAAAATTTCGCACGAAGCGCCGGAAGTACGAGCATAGTCCGACAAAACTGCGTAATTCTTTCAGTGTAGTAGGTTTCGGGAACTGAGCGACTGCTCGCAATTTTGCAGGGTCGGGTCGAACACCATGCTTGGACACGATGTGCCCTAAGATGGACAGGTCTCGCGCGGCGAAGCGGCACTTTTTAAGGTTCAGTTGGAGCCCAGCGTTGGTTAAACCCGTCAGAACCAGTTGGAGCCGAAGCAGATGTGTAGGAAAATCGGGAGAGAAAACGACAATATCGTCGAGGTAGCATAGACACACAGACCACTTCAGTCCACGCAGTGTGTTGTCCATGAGTCGTTCAAACGTGGCAGGAGCATTACAAAGACCAAATGGCATTACGTTAAATTCGTACAGGCCATCTGGTGTAATGAACGCAGTTTTCTGGCGATCAGCTTCTGCCATAGGAACCTGCCAGTATCCAGATCGTAAGTCTAAGGAGGAGAAGAATTCGGCTCCTTGGAGGCTGTCAAGGGCGTCGTCGATGCGCGGTAGTGGATAGACGTCTTTCCGCGTCACCTTGTTTAATCGCCGGTAGTCAACGCAAAATCGAATCGATCCATCCTTCTTTCGAACTAGAACGACAGGAGATGCCCAAGGACTGTGCGATGGTTGAATAACGCGACGGCGTAGCATCTCTTCGACCTGGTCGTTGATGACGTGACGTTCTGCAGCAGAGACACGGTACGGTCTTTGACGCAATGGCTGGTGTGAACCGGTGTCAATGTAGTGGTGCACTGCGGAAGTCCGACCCAATTGCGGCTGAGAAACGTCGAATGAATCACGATCGGACAAGAGCAACGGTCAAGCAGATGCCGGCGATGATCAGCACGAGCCGAGCGAGCGAAGCCCAGCACCCAGTACCCAAGCAGTGGCGATGTTGCTTGCCAACAATGCGTTTTCTTCTTCACATTATATAAACATTTTAGTTTCAAAACGGCACTCATTTTGTGCATTCCATTTTTTATGTATTCATGTTCTTGCACTGCCTCACTCATGAAAATGTTTGTTCTCTCAAATGTGCTTGAATATCAAACTGATCTGATGCTATTTGTTCTATTTTTCCAAATTGTGTTATTGAAGTCTTCCAGGATCCGACAACAACAGGTGGTACATATACAGGGTGAGCAGACTGTCAATGCCACAGTGAAGAATGAAATGTACGGCCAGCAACACGCCATGCAACATACCGTGTCCACTCTACAGGCTCCTGCGGCAACCCTTCCAAAAGCAGAGGCTCAATAGCTTTGAACACTTGCTTGTCACCTGCATCTGAGCAAAACATAAAACACACGAACATTTTATATTGTGAAGAAAAGTGCAGAACAAAAAGACAAAAGATGTTCACTATCACAAAAGCACCTATGTAAGCCACAATTAATTTCTGATACCGAAACATTCGCTGAAGCAATAGCACTGAAAATACTGGTATAGATAAAGAGTACATAAAGCTTCAATAATCCATAGTCAAAGAAGGAAAAAACATTAGAAAACAGAACTCAGCTACTGCTTCTCAGCAACATCAGGTACTAACCTGCTTTTTTTCTCATGGAATGTTAAACACCAATGCACAACTATGCTGATCAGCACAGCATGAGCACGAAAAGATGGAATGTTCCCAGTGCAATGCAGGAAAATCAACCTTTGGGGGTAAAACAGTCTAGCTATTTTCACAAATTTCAATTTGGTTAAAGTAGCTAGACATGAACAACACAATTGATGGTAAACCAATTTCAGCAGTATACTAGAATTAGTAATTGTCTCATTTCCTTCTTAATCAGCCTTTAAATAGCCCCTAAAGAATTATTCAAGAACCTAGTGCTGTATGGAATGTTCCTAATTTAGGACCATGGCCAGGGAAAAACTGTTGCTTAACATTGGAGGATTTTGTGGGGTACTACACCGGTTCTGAAAAATCTGGGTTTGGTTGCATCATTTCAAGCAGAAAAAAATGATAATGCTTTGCTTGGAATCAGTATCAAAATGGTCTATTCTGGCCAATTTTCAGTTTGATGCATCCAATGGCAGACGAAAGAATTCTTTTTTACATGGTGTTCTGTATCCACTCCATCTGGAACTAGGTTCTTTACGCTATCCAAAACTTCTCAGAGATTATCCCCAAACACAAACTTGGAGAAGACACATAACGACTCTACACAAGTAGCAATACCTAATTCCCTGTAACTTTCACGCAGAGGCAGCACCTAAGACTTGCTAGCACAAAAAACTACAAAACAGAAAAAACAGAGAGATGACTATGTACCCTGCTTGGTAAACATCGCATGCATGTTATATAAGCAACAAAGTCGGCAGGATTGTGGTGTACTTGCTGTTTGCTTCCATATTGACTGTCAATTAAACAAAAGAGTTGCAGATGCTACATACACTTGAAAAATGACCTACAAACATGGAAATCAGTACCGAGTATGCTTGCAGCACAAAATCCCAAAAAGGGTTCTTCATGCGTGCAGCTAGAAAACAGGACAAATTCAAGCTATTATACTCCAGGGAGGGTGAATCATTCAGTTTTCAGGGCTGTATACACACTGTGTTGCCTTTTTCTGTGTTGTGCATTTCTCAGTTATTCAATAATTAAATTACAGACGTGACTCGACTTCATCTTTTTTTTGTAAAGCATCCCATATATCATCTTATTGAAACACAACCATGAGGAACAAGAATTCTATACCCAGGATCAGGATCAAGACTGAAACTGTAGTACCTGGATGCTGTGGAATCTTTGTGAAGATTGGGATAGACTTGTTTCTCGCATCCTTATGTCAAATCCAGTTCAGAAATAACCATAATATGCGATATATGAAAGGCCTTTTCTCAAATGCTAATGTTATCCGACATTCCTTTCATTCCCCCCCCCCCCCGCTTTCCAAATTCTTCACTCTTCCAGCCCTTTGGAGGACTCAAATTTGTGATTGAGGCCAGATCGCTGAAGCGGGTTTCAGACCCCTGCTTTACGGTTATGGGCACAAAAGCCTTAAAGGGCCCGCGCAATGCTTTTTCAGGCATGGTTAGAAAATGCTGCGGATCGTTAGTCGAGGCTTCTGAGAACACGAGCCAAACATTAGTACGCAACATGCGGCCTGGAATTTACAATTACGTCTGAAAGTCAGCTAGACATTGTTCCCTTTTCATTTTACAAATGATGTCATATACCCAAGCCATTGGGCCACGTTCCTCAATTTCAAGCCATTGGCTGATTTGAGCATCACAAGCTGCATAGTTGCGGTGGCTGCCACACGATGGCACCATGCGCTCGTACACGCGATCGTACTGAAAGTAACCTGCATGTTCAAACAATAAGAAAAGAAAGAATCTAAAGACATGATGCATGCGTGAAGTAACTTCTTCATTCCTTTGGTGTCCCTCCCTGCTTAGCTTCCAGCGTTCTCATAGAGACAAAAAAAAAAGGAATGACAGGGTGCAACGAATCTTTGCAGCTCTGCTCATAGGATATTTAAACTATCGAAGGTGACTCATTTTGTCTTAATTTGAAATTCAAAGTTGGGGGGTCGACCAAGAATTGAAAACTAGTCTCGGTTGCAAAGTCTTTTTGAAAATGATCGCCACGTATTTGCACAAAGCTAGCTTTTCTGCACAACTAAAAGCTACTGTCGTGAAGTTATCTTCGACTTCCTTTTCTTTGGAGACATTGTAAATAAATTTGTGCCTGCCATGCGATTTCAGAGAGATTGGCTTACATTCGAGACGACTTACAATCGTGTAAGTACCATACTTGACAAATTCTAACATTTTTACGGCGGTTCATTCTTGAGGCAATACACTCCTTTAATGAAGCTATTCAATGGCTACGTCTTGCAGGACCCCTTCAAGTATGCTAAGACACGTATGCTCATTTCCCTTCATTCCTGTGGCTATGAAGGCACTTTTATTGTACCTTACATTTCCTTAATGAGTTCTCTGCGGACTGATGGACAGAAAGCATGCATTTGATAGTTTAATGCCACAAAATTGTTGCCCTGTATATTTCATATGAGTTTCGTAACTGACACAGAAGAAAGAAAACACCGCTTTATGTAGACGTATGTGAAGCTGTCAGTTCATAAACCTACCTCTATTATCACTGGGGTTGTACAAGCAAGAACCGCACTATGATTACCAGGCACACCATAATAGGCGACACCAAATCAATTTCAACCAGCAAGTGTTCTCTAACAAGTTTCTAAATCGAAGCACATATGTTTTCTTCTCATTTCACCTTCGTCAAACTGTTGCCACCACGGCCGAGAATCAAACGCATGCCCTAGAGCATAGCAGTGCCCCACATTCATAGAAGAGCATGTCTATATCGGCTTGAATCCTTTTAGAGAAGTCACAATATGGTCAAGTTGTACAAGTATAAAGTAGAGAATGTAGACAGGTGAATAAATAACATCTCGAATGAATTTATGCATGAGAGCCATGCGAGTGTAGTCTTCAAAGGCCATAACACAGTTTCTGACAGCCACCGCTTCAAAGCACGTAAAAAGTTGATGACTGTTAACATAATACACTTATTATTCATGGTTAGTGATAGGGAACATGACCCCATGAAGCAGTACCGCACAGGAAATTACAGCGGAAACGTGCAGGGACGATAAACAGCACATCCCGAACAAAGTAATTAGATAAGTGTCGGCTTGGTGCAGCAAAACCGCCCCTTGAAAACAATGCGTATTGATTATCGAACACATTCTTACAGACTGTAGTAATGATAACTTTATCACAAGGATATCGGCTGACCCTGTCCTGTGATCCAATATGAAGTTGGGTACCACGATGGGGAATGCATAAAGAAAAAGTGTAATATAAGACCATTTTTGGAATGTGTTTGACCAATGTGAAAGGACCTCTGTACTAAGCCAGAGATTGCGCATCAAGCCTGTGAAGTTTTCCCCAGCCATCACACTTACTTCCACTCTATGTGGCTTATCAGGTCTACATTGTGCATGCTTGATACCTGTTTGTTCACTGTTAGGAAAACATTTGTAGCAGCCTACAACTTTCTGCAGCATTGTATAAAAAGCTGTAATGGCTGCTTATAACAGCATTCCAATTTCCCTTTTGTTTTAATTTACGTTGAACACCAAAGAAAAAACACATAAATGTCCCTATTCATTACACTGGATGCTTCCTATCATGCATAGCGCTAAGTAATTATTCACTTAACTTGACACCGCCAAAGGTTTTCTTGTTTCCATTCTGGCATCGTTTCTTACTGAATATTTAAAACTGGGATGGCCAGTATGGACTGATATTATCAACCCAATCATGCACTCAAACGCTGAAGCAACGCTTTTAGCAGTGCTTGTGTACAGTGAAAGAGTCTAAGACACATTTTCGCCCAGAAGGAAAGCCTCTTTCAAGTCTCATAGAAGTATTTATGTAGTAAATGACAACTCACGGAGAATGATTGCACATATATACCTGATATTAACCAACAATTTTTTTCAAAGAAAATTGATTATGAATTGTTCAAAATGCTCAATTAGGTATTATACTTCGTATGTAGCATTAAAACGGTCTTTTCTTAGATCCGGCATCACTTCTTTCTTTACAAATTTCAGACAGAACAATTCCTAACGCAGCAAACCAACAAAGTTGTGCTACTTTGATCTGATTATAGAAGTAAAGTGAAAGGATAAAATGACATAATTTTTTTTGTCATTAGTGCTCTTGTTTCGTCATAACCTGGTGTTTTTCGCTCATCCCGCATGCATGAGTTCCTTTGAAGGTTTTATCGTTTTTAGTTTTTTATTTTCTTTTACAGGTTAAAACCAGCCCTGTTTCATGTTTTTAACCTCTTCTCAATCGCATTTTTTAAGGCACATATATATGCACAGGTGACTGCAATCAAATTTCAGTTTTAATCAGAGCTCTTTATCTCTACTGTCTTTCTTTTCCCTGTGCCTTTGGGCTGCCCTAGCTAAGTGAGTAAAAGGATAGGTTACCTTGCATGCTATGTCAGCAACTAGACAGTCGCATTACAAAGAGTCGCACAAGGCACACTATTAGCAAAATTGATTATTAATAATTATTTCAATAAAGATATTCCGCTAGACAACCGTGCAGGCATACAACAGTATAGCTACATCTTGGTTAGCTTGAAACACAAGGGCTTCACAAGTGAATGAAGGAATGAATGGAAGTGCGTGAGTGAGCAAGTGTTTGTGCTTGTATGTAGGTATCTGTTCGAGCATGTGTGCGCGATGTTACAGTCGGAAAAGAAGTTCAGAATGATTTGTACAGAAAAAAAC